TGCATTGGTATATGTGACAGCCAGTGGCCCAATGGACCCCTCCTGCCCTGGCCTGACAAATACCATTGACAGGAAGGCCCCAAGGAGTCTGCTCCCCATGGAGACAATGTGGCAACACAGAGTAAGGCTTGAAGTCTGGGGGCGGTTGGGGACCTGAGGCCAGGCCCAGCTCTGCCATCCACCCACTGTGTGGCCTTAAAGGGCTTGCCCAATCAGTGTTTGCATCTCTGAAGTGGGGGTGCCAATATTCTTGGCTCCGCCTCCCTCCAGGGCTGCTCTCTGCTCAGAGGCTGACCATCCCAGCTACTCCTCTCTGAGCACTCACTCTGCAGGCACTGTCCAGCTGATATATTCTGCTCATGTAACCCTCCTAACAGCCATCTGGACCTCCAGTTACAAACAGAGAAACAGAAACACAGCAGAGTTAAGAAACACCCCTACAGCAAATGCGAAGTGGGCAGGATCAGCACTTGGCTCAGCCCCTCCGCAGTCCTGCCTCTGGGTGATTGAGGGCAAGGAGCCAGGGCCTATTGCAATTTGGGGGGAAGCAGAGCTGTGTATGGTGGAGCCTCACACTCCCCCTGCCCAGAGCACTCCCACCAAATGGCAGCGAGTCCCCAGCTGCCTCCAACTCCTGCCTTGGGCATCAGCATTTGCCTCTTGGCACAAGTGGCCCAGGCCTGGGTACCATCTTACACCCCCCCTCACTGGGCCCGTTTCCTCGTCTGATGTTGATAATCTTGCACACAGGGTGGTTGTAAGATAACGGCCACCCAGTGTCCATCACAGTGCTGCCCTGCACTGGGGAGGGTAGACACCCCGGAGCAGTTGGGAGATCCAGGAGCAGTGGGATTTACACCCCCTTCCCAGGTAGAACCCCAAGAAGGCAGCCAGACCCCAGATAAGCAAGGGTTGTACAGGGTGTCTAAACAGCCCCCCAGAAGTCCCTGTGCTTAATTGTGGAATGATGGCCATGAGCCCCAAAGGGGCCCACAGGCCATGGGAGTTTCCTTTGACAGTCCCTTGGTCCTGAGTGTCCAAGAGCAGAGAAAGAACCAGACCCACAGAGCCTCAGGATGGGCATCAAGGGAAGGCAGGAGGCAGGGGAGATGATCAGAGAGCCCGATGCTGACCAGGACCATGGTGGGCACTACAGGCCCCACACCAGGGTCCAGAAGTTCTGCAGCCCATGACAATGTTTGCAGGTAGGGGTGGGGGGAGGGGCAGGTAGGGAGAAGAGCATGAAAAGAAAAAGGCAAAATCAAAATTAATAGTTTAAATATCTACAAAGCAAGACATTGTCAAGTAGTAAACTGCACACTTTAATGTGGAATGCAGGCAAATTTTAATAGGTGGGATTTAGCCTCTGAAATCCAAAGTGCCCAGGGCCTGCCTGAGGTCTTCAAATATGCCATCCCCAAAACTTACACACATCCCTGGGGAAAGGAGGGGTCCCCAAATCGATCCGAAATTATCCTGTAACCTCACGTGGGGGGATGGGGGAGGAAGCAAAAGAGAAATGTGGGTCAGACATAAAAAAATGAAGTTATGTTCCTCACACGTGTTCATGTGTAAACTACACATCCCTGGGGAAAGGAGGGGTCCCCAAATCGATCCGAAATTATCCTGTAACCTCACGTGGGGGGATGGGGGAGGAAGCAAAAGAGAAGAAATGTGGGTCAGACATAAAAAAATGAAGTTATGTTCCTCACACGTGTTCATGTGTAAACGGAGTTCCTGAGTCACTGCGGACGTCACCGTGCAATGCTGTCTTCAGACTCTTCATCCCTGGGGGCTGGGGGGACTCAACCTACTCAAACCCCCTCACATTTCAGCAGGTGGATTCGCCATTCTTTTGCATCTCTCGAGTGGAGATTAGCCACCCCCTCTTCCTTTGGAACTACATAAGTTCATCGGTGTGACTTTAAGAAGTGAAGGCAGAGAGCTGAGTTCCAGTCCAGCCCCACCACAGCCACCCCGTGTGATCCTAGGCAGGTGCCCTCTTCCCTGTGGCCAAACCTCAGTCTCTTCATCTGTGAAACGGAATAATGATGCCTACCAGGACTGTCGTGCAGACCAAAGAGGCCACAGCTATGTGACACACTGCTTTTTAAACAGACTGGGCCACGCTGGGGTTTGACTAACAAAACCAAACCAAAGAAAAAAGGTTTGTGTTAATTTATGTTGAACCCTGGGAGTGGATTTCACAATCAGCCCTTCTGAGCTATGTCCGGGGGAGGTGAATTTTGATTTTTCCCCATGGTCTCCTTGCCAGAGCTCACCATCTCCTCCTGCCCCAGCCAGTAGAGAGAGGAACTGGGGTCAAACTGGTGGGGAAGCAGGTTGGGATGGGTTGGGGAGCCAGGCGGGCTTGGCTCCTGGAGGCCTGAGTCAGCAGGCAAGCGGGCAGGGCGGGCCCAGTCTTCACATGCTTGGGGAGGAGACGGTGCAGGAATGTTCCTCCTGCCAAGGCCCAGGCCCTGCCCACCGCATCCTGGCTTCTGCTCTCAAGAACACTACAGCTCAGCTTTAGCTTGAGAGATGGGAGATGCCTGGAGCTTTGTTGGGCGGGGGGGTTCAGCCTGAGGCCTTCTGAGGCAGCTTGGCCCTGGGGACCAGCCCAGGGGTGGACAGGGCCAGGCCACAAAGCCTGCCCAGAGCTGGGCTCTGGCCCCAGAATATCCCCACCCTGCTGGGTGATGTGGCCAGCCACCACCGCTGCTCCCTAGGCCTCAGGTTCCCATCTGCACAATGAGGAATTGATTTTGGTGGTGTCAGGTGGTCGCAGCTGCACACGCAGACCTCTCGGGTGCATGCCTGTGTGTGATGCTTGTGACTTGCTCTAGCCCCCCTCAGGGACGTACCTCCCAGGACTGCTCATCCTGCAAAGTTCTGCTGAATTTCTGATAAGTTGGGCTGGGGACCTGGGAGGTGGTGCAGGTGCAGTCCAGGCGCCACTATGCTTGTGACACCTTTGTGCATGTGTGTCTTTGTGGCTATGTACACATGAGTGTGTGTCATTGTACATGTGCATGGGACTGTGGTGTGGCTGTGTGTGACAAAGTGGCTGAGACTGATGGCTGTGAACGGATAGCAATGCATGTGTGGATGTGCCAAGTGTGACCGTGAATGTGTCACAGTGTATGGCAGTGTGGCTGGGGTGCAAATACATGAGCACAGTGCATGTACATGGCCAGGTGTGGCCACAAAACAGACTCCATTTCCAGGCTGGGCCAAGTTTGGGGATCGGGGTCCCCCACCCCCACCACCAGGTCCTGGTAGTTGCCCAGGGCAGAAAGAGAAGCCTTGTTTTCCACTCCTCTCCAAGTCAGGGAGAAAACTGGAGGCAGCTGGGCCCAGCTCAGTCTGGAACATCTGCCTGGTATGTGACTGAGGCCAGCCAGCAGGCCTTGCCACCACCAGGATGCCCCCCACCCTGGTCCCCCAATCCCCTGCTGAGAGGGGCTCCAACCAGCCCAGAACAATCCCAAATTCTCCCAGCACCCCAATCCACAGACAGATAGAAAGAAACCCTGGACAGGGGCACCATGACATCCTCCCTGCCCCCCACATACATCTGCCCCAGCCCAGAGACCTCAGGATGTCTACAGCAGGCCCGGCCCACCCCAAAATGTCACTTTCTGATTCTTCTCCTAGGTCCAAGCCCCTCCTGAGAAAAGTGTCATACTGATGGCTTCCCTCTGAGGATGGGAGGCATGGGAGGTGGCTGCCTCTCACGGAAGGGACACAAGAGGGCAATACTGTTCCCCAGGGCAGGAACATTAACAAGGGACTTTCCAGGCACTGTGGCTTATGAGGAGCATTCCCTGACTTCTCAGACTAGGCTTTGGGAAGGGGACCCCTGTACTCAGAGTTCCCTCTGCAGAAGGCCACATGGAGGTCAGAGCAGAGGCGAGATTAAGGGGGGTAAGTTCCTCAGATAGGTTGAAAATGAAGGAAGGAGGGCAGGGAGGAAGGAGAGGAAAATTCCTCAGAAAGTCCCAAATGTGACCTAATGTTGACACAGGGCCAGAGGACCCATTCCAGAAGTTCCTCTGAGGACAATTTGCCCTGAACGGGGAGCCCTTCCCACCCCTTCCCCACTGCACCTGTTGGCCCTTTTCCATCTCCCAGTCCCTGGCCTGGCCAAAGTCCTCCCTGGCGGCCCGGGCCCCAGAAGCCCTCCCTCCGCCAAGTCCCCATTGCCTCTGAAGGAGAACCATGTCTCGGCCAGTACTCTTTTTCTCCTCCATAGATGAACAAATTCCTGTTTATCCAGACTGGGGCACCAGCAAGGACACAACCAGGGTCCTCTCCAGTTTCCAACATGGGAGCCCCTACAGGGCTGGGCATGTAGGAAGGACACAGTTCCTGAGTCTCCCCCTCCCCGCCCCTGGACTGGGGCTTTCCAGGGGCAAGGCCAGGACATGGCTCCCTGGAGAGAGGAACCATCTGACTATTAGACTGTCCTGGGGCACAGCCGCTCATCCCTTCCTCATACAATCCTCAGTCCTACCTCCCGGAGCAGCACTGCCAAACCCCTGGGCAGGCCTCCACCCATTTTTCAGATGAGGAGAGTGAGGTCTGGGCAGTGAGTGCATCCAGATGGGGGGGTGTCTGTGGCCACTTCTAGCTCATCCCACCAGCACAGCCCTCCCCGCAACTTTTGAGGTTTTTTTTTTTTTTCCTTTTTGTCTTTTTTACTGACCGGTAACGGGATCGTAACCCTCGGTGTTGCGCCCGCACCACACTCAGCCAGTGAGCGGGAACCGGTCTCCACATGGGATCCGAACCCTCGGCAGGAGTGCCGCCACGCTCCCAAGTGGTGCACTCTCCAGTGCGCCACCGGGCCGGCCCAACTTTTGGGGTTTTGTTGTGAAGTTTTCCCACCACGACCTCAGAATCTGGTTGGATGGCTCCCAGGAGCAATTAGGGTTCTATCCGTCCCCCACCCTCATCCCTTCCAAAATCCAAACAGAAAAAGTCATGCTTCTGTTATCTTAATTGTAAAAGGTTTATCAAGAAAAAAGAAAGAAAAAAAAAAAAGATTCAAGCAGCAACAGCCAAGAGCAGACCATGGCCTCCCAGGGGTGGAGGGGAGGGGAGTGGCACGAGTGAGCTCCCCCCAACATGCCGTTGGACCACACCCTGGCCTGGGCAGGCAGGAGGCAGTAACCCCTTAAGGATGTAAACATAGGTCAGAGATAGCACAATGTGACCAGGAACAAGGGCTCGCATCACAGTGAGGCCGGCTGAGGGCAGGTGGGCTTGGAATCCCTGGGACAGGTAGGCAAGAAGATCCCATCTTTCTCCCTTTAGGTTCTCACTGTGTAACAGGAAGGATTCAGGGAAGGATTCATAGTAGCATGGAGGCCAAGGACCCTGGGAGCCTGGGGTCTGGGCCTGCTTGGAGTGTGGGGAGCTATGGCCGATGAACTCTACTATCGGTAACTTTTGAGAGTCACCACTCAGGAAGGTGCCACTGAGGCTCTGGGGCCCAAGGCTTCTCTCAGCACCTTGAGCCCAGGGAGGAAGAAGGCTCATGATCCTCTAACCAAGGGGAAGAGAGGGGCTCGGCAGTGGAGGGGAGCAGAGGCCCACAGGAGGGAGCTGGCCTGCAGCCCCTCCTGCAGAGGATGGGGTGGGGCAGGGAAAGCCCAGGACCTGGGAGTGAGGAAGAGCCCTACCACATTGGCCAGAATCCCCACAGAGGGGGCATCAGACTGGCTCTCAAGAAAAGCAAGGGAGAGAAAAGGAAGATGTTTTCATGCCTCCACACCTCTGCCCATGCTGTTCCTCTCCCCTGAATGTCTTTCTCCGCATTTACTGTCTGGCAGGTCTTTGTCATTCTTCAAGACACTGCTTGAATACCACCTACTCTGTGGAGTCTTCCCCGGCCAGCAGAATGCTATGGTCCCTTCCGGGAGCTTTCAGGAGCCCTTTATTTAATCATCTGTCATACTGCATTGACTTTGTCCATTTCTGTGTCTGACCCCCACCATGCCTGGGGACTTCTCAAGGGCAGGCATGTCTCAGCCCTGGGTGCCCAACATCTGACCGAGGGCCACAGCAGGCCTCAGTGTCTGCTGAATGGACAAAGGGGTGGTGGCTGGGTGAGCAAGCACTACAGGCTCTAGGGAAGGCTAAAACCTTGGCCTGGCCTTAAGGGACTGACCAGCAATCTGGAGGGTTCCCACTACATTCTCACCCCTGCTGTGCCCCAGCTCTATGCAGCAGGGGACTTCCCCAGGGTACCCATGACTCCTTGAGAGCCCCTTCTCCCAGGAAGAGGGACAGGCTGCTTACCTCCCCCACCCCCACCCAGTCTGGAGAGGGGTGCGCTGCGGCAACTTGGCCCGGGGGTGGGGAGGGGGCCAAGTGCACATGGTCAGAGGCTGTCATACATGCGCAGGGTCTTCTCCAGCTGCTGGCCCACCCGCTGGTAGAAGAGGATCTGCTGGCGCAGGTAGTTCTGCATCATGTGCTTGAAGTCGAGCTCACGGCGCTGGTGGAAGTGATTCATCTCAGCCTGCAGGGCGAAGCCCACCACACGGCAGCGCCTGCGAATGCCATCTGCCTCATCCTGCGCCATGCGGCCCTCGTCACTCATGCGTTGGCTCTCCTTCACCTTGGCGAAGGCGCCTGGCACAGGCAGAGCAGAGGACAGGCAGGTTAGGGCTTGGGTCTCCTCCATTCACTCTCTGCACCTTCCTTGAGCCCCCTCGAGAGCAGATAACCCCCTCATTAGCTCGACTCAGACCTCACTCCCAAACTCTTGACCCATGATACAGCCTCCTTCGTGTCTCCACCAGAACGTCCCCTAGACCCTCAACATCAGCATATCCTAAACCGGACATACCATCTTCCCTCCAAACCTGCAGCACCACCAGCAGCCCACACCTAACCAGATGTATTTATTTCCAGAACTGGGCTGTTTCTGTCCTTACCCACCACTGGCCTCATCATCTCTCATGCTGGCTCCTAATTCAGCTCAAACATCACCTTCTCCAGGAAAGCCTCCCTGCACCCCACTGTGTTAGGTTCCTCCCGATGCTCCCAGGTTCTCTGGGATTCTCTCTATTACAGCTCTTAGCACCCTGTGGTTTCTCTGACTGCCTCCCTCTGGCCTATGAGCTCAATGAGGACAGGCCCTGTACCCCACCAGTCAGAACAAGGCCTGGCCCACTGCAGATCCTGATACATGTCTCCTGAACTGATTCAACCCTGCCCCTCACTGGATTGCTACAAGAGTCCACCCATAGTCTCCCTGCCCTTGGTCTCAGCCTCTGAGAGGTTCTCTGCAGTGCCTGAAAAGGTCCCCCAAGCTGGGCACCTTCCCTGGCTCCCCACTGCCTGCAGATGAGGGTAGGCCCATTCGTCTGGCCTGGGAGGCCCTCTGGGAGTTGGCCCCTGCACACATTCCACAATGATCCCATGTTGATCAAACTTACCCTGCTCTTTCCTACCTTCATACCTCTGCCTGCTGTATTCCTATTCATAATTCAAGGCCCCTGATCAGGTGCCACTTCTACACAGGAGCCTCCCCAGTGCCCCCAGGCAGAATGCCTCCCCCATCTCACTCTCCCCTGGCTCCACCCCCACTCCCATCACAATGCTGAATCTAAAACAGCACTTCAAAGGCCACCTGGTGTGCTCCCCCACATACAGGTCCTGCCCCTCCTCACACCAGCCCCCAGGGGGCTGCAAGACACTGTTGTAATAAATGGGTGACAGCTGGGGGTGGGGGCAGGGATAAACCTGGGCAGGGGACCCATTTTGGAAGAATCCGAATAAATAAACAAGCTACTGGTAAGTGAATTTCAGTTCTGAGTTAAAAGACACTTGACTAATTCTGCCTTTAAGCCAGTGGGGACAGCTGCTGCGAAGAGGAGGCAGTTTGCCTGTGCCTGGCACTCATTCCTTGAGGGGCTGCAGGAAATCCCCTGTGCAAAGAAGATTAAGGAGGTGGGCAGGGTTGGTGTGAAGGACAGCAGTCCCTGAGCATTTCAAAAGCATCCCCTGCTCACAATGGCAAGCGCATTATCCACGCTTTCCCCTTCTCCTTTAAGGAGGGCCCTTGAGGGCCTTCTAGATAGTATTCATTTTACCGTCACTGAGGTTGTCATATGCATTCAAAATGCATTTATTGGGCACTTACGATATGCCAGACCCAGGGCTCTACATGCTAGAAATAACTCTGGATGCCTTTAGAAGAGGTAGCACCCATGTCAGTTGGCAAGCGCATGTCTAATTGTCATTTCAGGCAGACAGAATCAAGTGTGGAGAATCTCTAGTGCTGCTCACACAGCACCCAAAAGAAATCTGCAGTCACTACCAGCCACTCAGTCCTTCCGCCACCTTTGTCTCCTGCTCCGTAGCAACAGACCACCCCAAGGCCCAGGATGGAGCCTAGTAAGAGACTTCAGAGCTGGAGAGGCCCTAGAGATCAGCCATTCAACCCCAAACCCAACCCCACCCCACCACTACACAAAGGAAGCAGAGGCGCTGAGAGGGCAGGGACTTGCCTAGGGCCTCCCTTCCTGTTCCATTAGTGGGGGATGCCTGGCCCTCCACAGCTGAGGGTGGACACCACTTCTGCTGCAGGGAGCCCATGCCAGGTCCTCCAGGCATATGTGTGTGGCCCCCAGCAATGGAAACAGGGATTCAAGAAGGTCCCAAGGGGGAGGAAGGACCATAATAAGAAAGGTAGAAAACAGGGGGACAAAGAAACTGGAGTTAAGCTTCAGCAAAAGGGACCTAGCTGAAGGGGAGACACTGAACTAGCCTGGATTCCACCTGCCTGAGAAAGTCTGGGTGCAGGAGGTGTCTATTGATACTTCAGAGGGGCTTTTCTGCCCATGGCCTTGGAAGAAGGAAAGGCCCCTTTTGTTGATGGACAGACTGAGGCCCAAAGAGTAGGAATGAAACTATTGTAATTGCTAGGTTTCATAGACAGACAGGGGGCCAGAGATGGGGGGCAAAGGCTGCAGAGGTCGGGGAGGCAGAGGCCCCACGCTGTCCATCACCTCTCTACCCTGTGACTCAGTTCTGGGGACAGGACCAGCTAACACTAATACGCCCCACTCGACAGGCTGGGAGTCAGTGTCAGGCCTGTCCGGCATCCTCCCTAAAACCACTTAAAACTCTGAGAGCTGAGGACCCAGAGGAGCTTCCTGCCTCAGCAGTTCTTCTGTGGGCTGGGTCCCAGGAATAGGGAGAGGAGGAGGGTTGGAGTCCACCAGCTGCAGAGTCTCAGGGTCCCAGGCATATTCCCTAAGCTCCCACCTCAATCCATCTTGCTCCTACCTCTTGGAGGTAGTTACCACCCATCCCAGGTTGGGGGCAAGAAGTCTGAGTCCTAGTCCCAGCTGTATCACCTCTAGCAAACCACTGTTCTCAACTGGACTGCAGATGTCCCCACTGTCAAACAAGACGGGTTACACATCACATCTACGTGATGCTGACAACTGCTCACAACAATACATTGCTTTAGTTTCTACATCTGTAAAATGGGATAGTAATAGTACCCGCCCTATAGTATAGTTGAGGTTTAACTGAACTATACTATCATCTGTATAAAGTACTCAGGACCTCACCTGACATAGAATAAGAGCTCAGACGCTCTGTGCTCCGGTGTGCAGACTGCTTTTCTATCCATGAGCTCACAGCAAACACTAGCCACTGGGGGCTCATGGCAGTATCATTCTCTCTGCTGATGGACACCTAGAAGGAGAGCTAGAGGAAGGGTTGGAAGATAGCTCAGAACCCACAGAGGCTAGACCCACCTGTCCCCCAGGCAAAAGCTGGCCCCTGCGAGAGCCACTTTGCCTTGGCCAAGCTGTGAGCTCATCACCCCTCCATGGGTGCTCTGTGGTCTTGGGCCTGCCTCTAGTCCACTGAGGATGCCAGCGGACTTCGTGCTGGAGCGCCCTCGCCTCCTTCCTTCCTCTTTCCCCTTCTGGCTCATCTACCCCAGCTGTCCATCCCTTGGGGAGCCCCTTTCCCCTCTGCCTGGCACAGTAGAAACATCCTGGGGTGGAGTCAGACACACCTGGGCTCCAATTCCTGCTCTGCACTTCAGCTAACCTCACTGTGCCTCATCTGTAGGATGGAGGTGATCACATTGGACTCCTGACTTGTCATGAGCCTCACCACCGAGCCCTGCCCTTGCTGGATCTCAGCAAGGGGACCATAGGTCCTGGCTTGCCCTGGACAGTCACTTTCCCCTGGTTGTCCCAGATAACTATTACTAGGACCCCTTTTCATCCCCCAAAGTGCCCTGGTTTTGAGAGTTAATTATATGGTCGCCATTCTTTTAGGAGACCCCCAGACTGGATTCCAGGGGCTGGGCCAGTGGGCAGACCAGGCTGGTGGGCCTCATCTCAGCTCCAACCAGGCTCCAACTACCATCTTACTAACATGGAGACTGAGGGGAGAAAACTCTCCCAAGTTTACCTCAGAGGCAAAATCTATCCAAACCCTAGTCTCCTGACTCCCCACCTGGGCCTCCCACTGACTTACCCCCACTGTCTCTCCCACCCCCTCACCGTCCATTCAGATGTCTGGACAGGCTGGACAGAATCCCGGGACCCAGGACCCAAATGTCCTGCTCCTTCCTCTGAGAAGGGCTCCACGGATAGGGCCAACACCCCCTCCCCCGGTCAGGCTGTAGTCCCCAAAACATGACAGTTCTGCCTTAGCCAGATTCCAAGTTCCCTCCCTAACTTGCCCTAGACCACAGGCCTGGGAGGGGCAGTGCAGAGCCCGAACCTAGAGTAAGCCCAAGAGGACTTGGCCTACGGAGGGCTGCTCCAGGTGAGGGAAGGTGGACTGGCCTCTGCTTCATTGAATGCATCAGCCCAGAGGACGGTGGCCCCTGACTCCTAGAAACACCTCAAATGGAGACTCAGAAATGGTCTCCTTCAGCTCTGTCTCCCTGCCTTACGGAAAAAGGCCAATCTGGCTTCACTCCCTCCTGCCTCAATGCAAGCCTGGGAGCCCAGGGTGCCTTGGGCATGGGGTTGCCTTCCTGCCCTCAGCTCTGCCCCAGGTGAGGGTCCCCAGCCACTGCACCGGGGACAGCTGTTTAATCACTGTGCCCCCGCCCTCTGCTGCCCACACAGAACACGCCATCCAAGGAGCTGGTTGAACCAGCTTTCCTAGGCCCTGGCGCAGTGTGTGGCTCCACTTCCTCACAGAGAGACACCTGCCCCAGTGGGCCCCCAGCTACCCCAGCCACCTCCCCTGCCCTACCCCCGTCCCAGAGCTCAGAGCCAGATAAGGCATCTTTCTGCTTCTGGACCAGATCCTCCCCAGGAGTCCCTTTCCGCCCCCTTCCTTAAAGTCCTGAGAGCTCACTGGGACCTTCTCCTCTGTTTTATAGATCCAGAAACTCAGGCCGAGAGGCAAAAGCCTTTCCAGGGACACACAGCAAATTGAGGGTAGAGCCAAGACTAGAACTTAGGCCTTATGTCTCCTGGAGCTGAAAGGAGGAGGAAGGAAGGTGGAGATGAGGAAACAAGGGCAGAGAAGAAAGAAAGAGGAGAAGAAATGAGAGGAGAAAGGAGGCTGGGAGCCAGAGAAGTTCCAGAAGGCAGCCTCCTGGTAAAAGAGAGCAGGACTGGCTTACCCCGGCCTCTCCTGGGTACTAGGGGAGGGGGTGGAGGTTTGCTGTCCGCCAGGCTCAGTCCAGAGGCCTGTCTCCTGGCCCCACCCAGAGTAAAACTCTACACCAAGCCAGGCCTGACCTCAGGGCCTAGGGGCCAGGGAGCCAGCCCCACGCCCTGCAGACGTTCTTCCTGAGTTACCAAGCAGCCCCAGGGAGGACCACACCTCTCTCCTGACATCTGTCCTCCCTGTTGTCTCCAGGACTCAGCCACCTGCTGGGTAAGCCCCTAACTCACTCTTCACACAAGAAGAGAAGCCAAGTTCTGGCAGTGGGGGCTGGATGGGCCATGTGGGCACTGCCCTGGACCCCTGGTTCCACTCCCCTGCCAAGCCCAGCCCAGTGCCCCTGTGTAACCCGGGAGGAGTCATTTCCTTGGCAGTTCCTTGACAGTCCCAGCAGTAACAGGCAAGGGCCCATCCTGTCCCTCCCTGCATAGAGGGTCATGAGAACTGAAAACAGGCCAGGCTTGGGAGGCAGCCAACATGGACATGTCCTTGGGGAGGTAGCAGGAGGAAGGGACAGTCCCAGCTGGGCCACAAACTCCCTGTGCAAACTCTTCTGTGGACACCAGCTCCTTCGTCTGCCAAAGGGGGACAGAGATCCTCCCACACGCAGACAGGAAGCTCACAGACAAGATACACCATGGTGAGAACAGGCTCCAAAGCTGCAAAGGTAGGAGGTGATCTTGTAAGGAGTGGGAAGACGGGCCCGCACTTTGTGCTCTTGTTATCTGGGTCTGGGTCTGAGTCCTCCATGAGCCCACGGGCTCCTCGAGAGCAAGGCCTGCGGCTCAGTCATCTCTGTGTTCCCAGAACCCAGCCTGCTACCTTGAAGGGGCTCAATGCAGATGGGTAAATGAGTAAATGAGATAGAAACAGAGAAAATGAATGAGCTAACAAGAAGGAAAACAATGAACTCCATGAGTACAGGGACCGGGCCCGGCCACAACAATATCCCTGAACCGAGAAAAGCACCTGCCACAAAGTTGATACTCAACACACGTGTGGAATCAGTGATTGAGATGGACAGAAAGACTGGATGAGCTGCTCCATTCTGCCCAGGCCTTCCCCGTATCCCCAGTGCCAGCAGACAGCCAGACTCAGGAAGGGTTTCCTACCTTTCTGTAGGTGGATGATGTCAGGGAAGTTGGAGAGCAGGCCCTGGTAGAGAGACAGTGTGTCGAGCATGCGGAAGAGGTCATTCTTGGGCTGCTCGGCGAACATCTCGCCGACAGTTTCATAGGTACGGCCCGTGTGACAAATGGCGCTGTTGAGAGCCTCGGAGCTAAAGGGGGGGTCCATCTGGAAGGCATGACTAATGGCCTGAAAGGCACTGCCCAGCTTCTGGAATTCCTTGCGGAAGCCCCCCACATGCTTCCGCACCAGCTCCGATGCCACGGTACTGAGCTGCAGGACACTGTCATCCATCTTCTTGCTGAAGGCCTTGAAGGTGTCCACACGGTCCTCCACATCCTGTAGGTCCTGGTGCTCTGTGGGAATCTGGAAGGTGAGCAGGAAGCTGGCACCCACCATCTCGTCTTTCTCTGCCCGGCGTTTGCCCATCTTCCACTGCTTGTCATCCAGGCAGCTGAGAAAATGCTGGAAGCCCTCATACTGGGAGAGCACAGGGTGGCTGGTCATGTGGTCCATCCAGAGGATGAGCCGCCGCTTTCGCTTCTCAATGAAGTCCTCCTCGAAGCGGCCGGTGGCCTGCTTCTCAGGCAGGTGGGGCACTGAGATGACAGTGAACTTGTGTAGCAGGCGGTTATAGAGCCAGTCAAAGTGTTTGTAGCGTCTATAGACAGGTGAGGCAGCATGGGTGGGTGTAAGCTTGTAGGAGATGTAGCTTTTGATGCCCTTGAACTTGGTCTGTTTGGTGGGGTCCTCCACGGAGCAGGCAAATGGGTGGGGGTTCGCCTTCCACTGGGGGCCACGAGGGCCCATTTCAATGGAGTATGTCTCCGCGATCTTGGCCATCATGGGCACATCACCCAGGATGAAGGCCTCCACTCCAGAGCGCACAAAGCACGAGAAACGGTTGAGGTTGCGCCCCACCACACTGCCTCGCTTGGCAGACGCCAGGCTGTCTTGCCGCTCTAGGGGTGGTTTGGGCCGGAAGGCCATGTGTTGGCTGGGGTAGGCACCAGGGTAGGAGAGGTTGAGTGGGGGGTGCCCGTTGGTGCCCAATCCACCAGTCCGTGGCTCCTCCACCACTGTGCATCCGTCGTCCCAGTCATCCCAGTCATCATCATCATCATCCTCGAAGCTGCCCTGGTTTGAGAGGAAGCCACTACCCCCACCACTCCTGGCCGGGCTGGCCACACTGGGGCTGTCATAGAAGCTCACCTGGGTGCTCAGAGAGCCTGCAGGACTGCTGGAGTAGTCAGTATGGTTGATGCTGAAGCCAGAATGAATGATCTCCACATAAGAGGCAGGAAAGAGCCCCGTCTCACCACGGCTGTTCTGTCCCTGCAGCCATCCATCCAGCGAGGTCTCACTGAAGATGACCAGGTCCTCATCCTGGTGGATGCTGATTTCCTCCTTGTTTTCACTGTGGAAGTCATAGAGGGCTCGGCCTTTCAGTGCCATGGCTGGGCTGAGTAGTAGAGAAAGATGGGAAGGAGGGGTCCTTCCCACAACAGGGGTATCCAAGAGTGCACTAGCAACCCAATGCCTGTCACACAGCTAAGTCTCTCAGCCCCTAAGGTGTGGTCTCAGCACCCACAAATGCTGTCCAGCCTCACTCTCTTCAGAGTAATGTCCATGGCCTAGAAACTGCCCTATCGGGTTTCCCGGCACATGCCTGTCAGAAGGGAGGGCTCACGTCCATAGTTCTCCTCTCCTCCCTTGGGAGCCCCTGCAAGAGTGAGGGGAATCTCTCCCTCCTTCCACTCCCAGAAGAAATGTCAAGTGACCCGGAGAAACCAGCTCTGCGAGGGCAAGAATTCGACACTTTCCACTGGAACAACGTTCTAAAATAGAAGAGAACCACTCGGAAACCACCGTTCCAGAAACCCAGGCAGGGCTGCGTCTCTCTGGCTGCTCTGGCTTTGGGAGGCTCTCACATTCCTCTGTAGATCTGCCCCTTCCTTCTTCCTCCTCCTCCTCCCGGGCCACTGGGTTTTCAAAAATTCAGAAATTCCAAGAGGGGCAAAGAGAAAAGCAGCAGCCTCCTGAATCGAGTCCAAGGGTGGATGTGTCCGGCTTCACAACGAGCCAGGCCGGGAAAACAAGGACTGAGGCTTACACAACAGGCCGCCAACTCTTCGGCCCGAGCTGCGCAGCCGGGACCCCGCCGGCTCGGGCGCCCTCTCCCCGCCCCACAAGTGGCCAGTCCCCAACCCGGAGAAAGGAAGGGGCGCGACAAGGCGTTCGGGCGACTTCTGGCCACTCTGAGCGGTCTCTTTTGTTTGCCTAATTTCTCAGCAGTTTCTGAGCCTGAAGCTGACTCCGATCTGAACCCAAGGACCCCCGTCCTAAGGTAACCCCAGCGGAAACCGGTCCCGGAGCGCGGGAAGTACGACCCCCGCCCCCAGCCCTCGCGTGCACGCAGACACTCAACAGGAGTTTGGAGAGTGGGCTCCGGCGAGCAGATGGATCGGCCGGCCGTCTGTCCGTACGTCCTCCGCTCTGCCCTGGTGGGCCGGGCCGGTGGGCGGCGGGCTGCGCCCCAGCCTGCCTTCTCCCGCACTCGCAGCCCCTCTGCGCCGTCAGCCAGCAAGAAGCCAGCTCCAAAACAAAAAAAGGCGATTCCGGGAGGCGGCGTCCGGAGGAAGGAGGGAAGAGCCGAAGGGGAGGTGAGGGGTGGGGAGAGAGGGAGGGAGGGAGGGAGGGAGGGAGAGAAAACACAATACATAAAGCCCTCCCTCGTTCCGGAGCCGAGAGGGAAGGGACGACCCGGGAATAAAGGGGCCGCGAGCCTTCAGGACCGGTCCCTGAGACGGCCGCCTCCCCTTTCCCGCACCCAACCCGCCCGTCCCGGCCGGGAGACACCTCTCGCCCCGGCGGGTTTGAGCACCACGCGGGGGAGCTCGACGGCGGCCGCCGCCTGACTCCGTCACCCTCCTGGCCTTTTCCGTGACGCAAGTGAAGGAAAGCTCCGAAAGTTTGCAAAGCGCGGGGCTGTACGGAAGGCGCCGGAGCTGGGAGCCGGTGGCGGAGGGTGCATGGAGAGCCGTGCCGGCCGGATGGGAGCAGAGCAGGGCCGCGGACGCCCCCTTCCCTCCTTCCTACCCGCAACTCCTGCTCTGGCGGGATGGGGCCGTGGCGCCTCCTGGAGTTTGTTCTCCGAAGAAGCGGAAGCAGCCTGCAAGTCCCAGGCATTTGATCTGGGATACCGGCCGCTCAGGATCCCAGTCCCCTGACCAGACTGGGCAAGGAGCACCCCAGCCCTGGATGACTTCCTTCAGGGGGAAAGACAGGACCCTACATCTGCATCAAGAGGAAACAAACCTAGATACGACCCAGTTCCTGGATCCTGGATGTTCCCGACTAGCCAGCAGCAGCAAGGAGAGGGAGGTGGTCTAGTAGATAGGCTTTGGGAAGAGGCAGGTGGGGATTTGACGCTCAGTCGGTGTATGGAGACCGATAGACTGATTCTGCCAGCCACTGCGCTGGGCACTGGAGAGTACAGAACAAGGCACTGGGGGTGCTTACAGTCCACCCTCTCTTGTCTTTTTTTTTTTTTTTTTTTTTTTTTTTCTGGAGAAGTCTAACTCAAGGGGCAGACACACTGAAGACGGTCATCACCAACGACCCCACTGCCATTAAACCCTCTTCACCCTCTCTTGTCTTTAATTCATCCATTCTATGTCTCATTCATTCAGTCGTGCATTCAAAAAATATGAACTGAGACCTCTGGGCTACACAGACAATAACATTGTCCTTACTTTCCGAAAGCTCACATGTGTCTTGACAAGTCATGGAAAGGCTCATATTATCTTTTAATTCAATTTTCCCACAAACTTTGTGAACTACTCTTGCAGATAGATGCTCCCTGCCCAGCGTGGCCAGTGCCATGAAAAGTGTGTGGGAGGGCACATTCCCCAGCCCAGGTGGATGCAGCAAGGATGAAGAATGAAGGAAGGCTTCCTGGAGGAGGAGGTGCCTAAGGTGAGGCAAAGGTTTTAGCCCTCACCCTCCTTCTTGGCTATGCCCTGAAGCCTTGTCTTCCCTCTCTAGCTAGAACTTCTCCCCATTCTCACTCTTCCTGTTTGATGCAGATTAACTGGCACAAGGTAGTGTAGCTAAAGATAGGTACCTTTGGCTGTTTTGAGGGGCATAGTTCCCAGACCTCTGGCTCCAAAACCTGATTTCATTGGTGCATTGAGTGGAACTTACTTCCTATGCAGGGCCAGCATTTGGCCAGAATAAAGGCTTATATTCAAACCTCAGAAGCCCAGGTATTGACTTGCACAGGGAAATACAATTGTCAAGCAGAACTGAATTTTGCACCAGTAGGTCAAGGCACTTTGAGCTACTCCTTGGGAAGCCCTGTTACCAGAAGGGTAGCCCAGTGAGCCTAGAACCTCTAAGAGGGGAAGAGGTGATAGTATGACAAGTCTCTCAGCCAAGAAACCTTGCAACCTTGTCCTAACCCCCCCCATAGGAGCAGCCTTGATTCTTTTTTTTTTTTTTTAAAGATGACCGGTAAGGGGATCTTAACCCTTGACTTGGTGTTGTCAGCACCACGCTCACCCAGTGAGCAAACCGGCTATCCCTATATGGGATCCAAACCCATGGCCCTGGTACTATCAGCACCGCACTCTCCCGAGTGAGCCACGGGCCAGTCCCTGAGCAGCCTTGATTCTAAAGACTCAGTTCAGCCTAGTATCTCCAAGGCTAGAGCCTGAATATGTTTCCTCCAGCTGCTTTTGGGACCTCCCCACCCCACCCCCCTTTCCTGTGATCTCTCCTCTATTCACACAGGTTTTCTCCAAGCTGGGTTTAACAATAGCAACTACTTGCTTAGTGTTTGCTGAGTGCTAGACACTGTTGTAAACACTTTACCTTTATTAGCTCACTTAATACAATTGATGGGATTTCTGCTCACCCAACTGGGGTCCCAGTCCAGCCCCATCCCTCTGAGGGGCCCCCAGCTACCACCTTGATGGCTTTTAGTTGGTTCCCAAACATTTACATCACACATTTACAGACCAACCATCTTGGACTTACTCCCACATCTGTTCTGGGTGGGTTTTTTGTAACTCTAAGGGGCCACCTTTATTTCCAGATTTTTGGGGAGGAACTCACTCTTCAGCCTCACAGAGATTTTCAGAACCTGTATCTTCCAATTCTTTCCCTCCAGGGACCCTCTTCAGGCCTAGTGGTAACAGAGCTCCATGGTTACTAGTCTCAGGAAACTGCACTAACCTTTGTGGTTTCTCTACACACTGCCCATTCCTTTGGAAAGAGTCCTTTTATTAAATTCTCCTCATGTTATTCTAACTGGGGTGTGTTCTCTCTTTCCTGCTGGGACCCTGATTCATACACAGGAAACAGCATCCATCTCTCATCTGGGCATCCAGTCTTCATCCTTTAGGAAAGGAGTCAGCAAGGGAGAACTGTGGCCGGTGGTTTCCAGGCTGACCTCCTGGTGGCAGCAGGGAGGCCACTCTGAACTATTAGTGTAGTAATGCAGGCAAGGGATGATGACGGCCTGAGGCAGGGCAGGGTAATGGGCTGGGGAGAAGGAAATCTGGAAGTTTTGGGGGGTAGAATAGACTGAAATAGTGATGAAGATGTGGGTACTGAGGGAAGTGTCAACTCACTTTTAAAAAGTTCTCAACTCCACTCCCCCCCCCACCAGCTACTGCCCCATTTCTCTGCTCACCTTTGCAACAAAATCCCTTGAAATAGCCATCCATAATAGCTGCTTCCAATTTTTATTTATTTTTTTGCAGCTGGCCAGTAAGGGGATCTGAACCCTTGAACTGTGTGCTTGTTTTTATCAGCACCATACTCTAACAAAGTAAGCTAACTGGCTGGCCCCTTTCCTTTCTCTTCTTAAACCCCTCTAGTCAGTCTTTCACCCCCATTCTCCTCCACTGAACTATATTGTCAAGGCCATGAATAACCTCAGTGTTGCTGGATCCTAAGTGATTATTCTCAGTCCTCTTTCTCAACATCTCAGTAGCATTTGACCCTGCTGATCACTCCTTCCTCCTAGATATACTTTCTTCACTTGCATTGGTGAGATCATACTCCTTGTTTTCCTTTTACCTCACTGGTTCATTCCCTTCTCTGTAATAATTCTTAACAGTAGAGTGACCACAGTAGAGTGTTCTTCTTGTCTTTGCTATCCATACTCATTTGATGATCTTATCGAGCCTCATCTTCAGATACCATCTATAGGCCGGTAATGCCCAAATTTTTATCTCCAGCTCTTTTTTAAAAACTCCAAACTCATATATCTTCTCCCTTGATATCTTCCCTTGGATGTCTAATAGACATCTCCAACCCAACATGTCCAAAATTGAATTTATGAACTTGTCCCCCAAACCTGTTCTACTTGTAGCTTTCCCCAGCTCCAGTGACGGTGAGTACATTCTTCCAGTTGCTCAGGCCAAAAACTGGAGTCATCCTTGACTCCTCTTCTCTTCATCCTGGGGTTTCTCTTTTTTTTTTTTTTTTTTCCTTTTTTTTGTCTTTTTCCGTGTCCGGCAACGGATCGCAACCCTCAGTGTCGCCCCTGTACCGGACCAGGACCAGCAACGGGATCGCAACCCTCGGTGTTGCTCCCGCGCCTCACTCAGCCAGTGAGCGGGAACCGGTCTGTATGTGGGATCCGAACCCTCGGCGGGAGCGCCACCGCACTTCCCAAGCGGCGCACTACAGCAGTGCGCCACCGGGCCGGCCCCTGGGGTTTCTCTTTTATCAGCATCTCACTACTGGTCTCCTGGTCCCAGCCAGCATCTTTCTCACCTGGATCACTGCAACAGTCTCCTAAAGGCCTCTCTGTTTCCATCCCTGCCTCCCTACAGTTTATTCTCAACAGAGTAGTCAGAGTGATCCTTTTAAAACCTAAGTGAGGAGTCAGTCCTCTGCTCAAAACTCTGCAGTGTCCCCATCTCACTCAATATAAAAGCCAAAGTCCTTACAAGGGCTTACAAGGCTCTATGTTATCTGATCTCTCTTTAATCTCTTCCTCTCCTCCTTGCCCATTCTGCTCCAGTCAAGACATGCCAGGCACATTCCTGTCTTAAGGGATTTGCACTGTTTCCTCTTCCTGAAATGCTCTTCCCCTAGATATCCACATGGCTTAACCCCTACAAAATATCAACTTCCCAATAAGACTTACCCTGGCATATCATATTTAAAATTATAGTCTGGGGGCTGGCCAGTTAGCTCAGTTGGTAAAGCGTGGTGCTGATAACACCAAAGTCAAGGGTTCGGATCCTCAGACTGGCCAGCTGCCAAATAAATAAAATTATAGTCCATCCTCACCCAAAGTCTTTTTATTTATTTATTCATTTATTCATTTGTTCATTCATTCATTCATTGGTGGCTGGCTGATGTGGAGATCTAAACCATATTCAGGGGCTGGCCCATGGCTCACTTGGGAGAGTGTGGTGCTGATAATACCAAGGCCATGGGTTCGGATCCCATATAGGAATGGCCGGTTGGCTCACTGGGTGAGTGTGGTGCTGACAACACCAGGTCAGGGGTTGAGATCCCCTTACCAGTCATCATAAAAAAAAAGAAAATCATATTCATCAGGAAATATGCCAATTAAAATCACAGTGAAATACCATCACACACTCAGACTGGCAAAAATTTTATTTTATTTTTTTGTCTCAAAGACTGTATTATCTTTACTTAAAAACAGATAGATGGACTGGCTGGTTAGCTCAGTTAGTTAGAGCATGGGTTATAACACCAAAGTCAAGGGTTCGGATTCCGGTACCAGCCAGCTGCCAAAAATAATAAAAATAAATAAAAAACAGATAGACATAGCAGCACTTACAAGAGTTCATAAAAGGTACTGTACATTGTCAACTGATAGTGTGACAAGGGCAGGCCAGCCCAGCTGGTTGTGGGCTCTACATCACAATGCTTGCTCACAAAAATATTTTTAAAACTACGGGCCGGCCCGGTGGCGCACTGCTATAGTGCGCTGCTTGGGAAGTGCGGTGGCGCTCCCGCCGAGGGTTCGGATCCCACATACAGACCAGTTCCCGCTCACTGGCTGAGCGAGGCGCGAGAGCGGCACCGAGGGCTGCAATCCCGTTGCCGGTCCTGGTCCGGTACGGGGGCGACACTGAGGGTTGCGATCCGTTGCCAGACACGGAAAAAGACAAAAAGGGAAGAAAAAAAAAAAAAAACTAATGGGGCCGGCCCGGTGGCGCACTGCTACAGTGCACCGCTTGGGAGCGCAGCGGCGCTCCCACCAAGGGTTCGGATTCCATATACAGACCGGCCGCTCACTGGCTGAGCGAGGTGCGGGCGCAACACCGAGGGTTATGATTCTGTTGCCGGTCCCGGTCCGGTACGGGCGCAACACTGAGGGTTGCGATCCGTTGCCGTCACGAAAAAAGACAAAAAGGAAAAAAAAAAAAAAAAAAAAAACTAACAACCAACCATTGGTGAGAATGAGAAGCAAAGGGAACTCTCATGCTCTGTCAGAGTATAAATTGGTACAATCCCTTTGGAAAACAATTTGGCATTATCCAGGAAAGGTTGAGCATGCATACACTTTACAACTCAGCAATTCTACTTCAAGATGAATACTATAAACTATTGCGTATGTGCAACAGGAGATATGTACAAGAAAGTTAATGGCAATGCTACTAAGAATAGTCCCTGAAAAAAAACCAACAGAAAAATGGATTATAATAATAATAATTATAATAAATTAGTCAAACAATGGAATACTATGCAGCCAGAAGAAAGCAATTACAACTACAGCTCCATACAGTATGGTGTCTTCTATGCAGCACTTCTCAAAATGTGTTGTCACTTTTCATACAAACTTCAGTGTGCATACAAATTACCTGAAGATCTTGTTAAAATACAGATTCTGATTCTGTATGTCAGGAATGGGGACCTCAGTCCAACTAGCTCTTTACTGGCCCACAGGCTACACTTTGAATGATGAAACTATTTCTTTTTAAACCAAAGGAACTAAATAATAAACACAAAATTCAGAAGAGGAGAGACCTTTAATTCTGGGGGGAGAGAGTGGCTGGAATAAGTAGATGAAATGGTCCTGGTCATGTTTTCTTAAACTAGCTGTTAGGTTCATTAGTATTCATTATACTTTATAACTTCATTATTACGTATATATTATTTCCCAGATATCAAATATTTTATTTCAAAAGACAATGAGAAGCATACAAACTAAAACAAAATGATCAGCGAAGAAGCTAGGTGGCGTTAAAGGCCTGGGAAAACAGGAATTAGGGGCCGCCCGTAGCTCACTCGGGAGATTGCGGTGCTGATAACACCAAGGCCCCGGGTTCGGATCCCATATAGGGATGGCCGGTTAGCTCGCTGGCTGAGCGTGGTGCTGACAACATCAAGTCAAGGGTTAAGATCCCCTTACCGGTCATCTTTTAAAAAAAAAAAAAAGAAAAAAAAAAAAAACAGGGATTAGACCCAAAACGCTGCATTCAGATGTAACTTACAGATCTAACTAGCCGAATCAGCGTTAAATTTCTTAACTCTGGACGAAATCCACCACGTCAGGCTAATTAGTTTGAGTCCAGACTAAAGAATTAGGACTTGTACTTACAGTCCAAGTTTCTCAAGCTCGCTGAGTTTTATGAATCACCTGACACTTTTAGCAACAATACAGATTTCCAGGCGGCTCCCCTTTAGATCCTGATTCTGCGAGTCCAGTAAGCGGCCCCGGTATCGGTATTTCATAGGTCCGGTGCCGTCCAGCCCCACTTGACAAGAAAAAATCGTTCCTCCTGGCCGATGAAGTTAGGACCTGACGCTGGCGGGCGGCGGGGACTATGCGGTCAGCCCCCGAGACGCCCAGCTCCGGGAAGCACTCCCACAGGGTGGTGGGAACCCAGTGGCAAACAAAATAGCGCGGTAAGGCCGAGCAAACAAGCGCAGCAGTCACCCCTCTTCCCCGGAACTGGCCTCCAGCTCTTGCGCGAGATACTCTCCCCAAAGGGCAGAAGCCGGAGAGGAAATTATTACCGAACTAGGGGATGCATTATTAGCTACTAAAAACCTCAAGGAGTCGCCTCGGGGCGCGCCCTCGAGCCCGCCCCCCACCACCTTTGTCCAGTGCCTCTTTCCCCTTCCTTGGCAAACCGGAAGAAGAAAAAGAAACGCGAGATAAGGTGGAGAGGCGTGGTCCCGCTCTGACCAATGGAAAGTGAAGGCGTGGCTTTAAGCCTTTCTTTCATTGGCCCACGGCCTCCAGGGCATCCGGGTCTCCCGCGCCAAGGCGGAAGGCTCGCGGATTTCGGCAGGCGCTTTCAGCTTTGTGTCCCGCTGCTTCGGCTGCCGCCGTCATGGTGCGGAAGCTTAAGTTCCACGAGCAGAAGCTGCTGAAGCAAGTGGACTTCCTCAATTGGGAGGTCACTGACCACAACTTGCACGAGCTGCGCGTGCTGCGGCGATATCGGCTGCAGCGGCGGGAGGACTACACGCGCTACAATCAGCTGAGCCGTGCCGTGCGCGAGCTGGCGCGGCGCTTGCGCGACCTGCCCGAGCGCGACCCGTTCCGCGTGCGCGCGACGGCCGCGCTGCTGGACAAACTGTATGCTCTCGGCCTGGTGCCCACTCGTGGCTCGCTGGAACTCTGCGACTTCGTCACGGCCTCGTCTTTCTGCCGGCGCCGCCTGCCAACCGTGCTCCTCAAGCTGCGCATGGCACAGCACCTCCAGGCTGCCGTGGCCTTCGTGGAGCAGGGCCACGTGCGCGTGGGTCCCGACGTGGTGACTGACCCCGCGTTCCTCGTCACGCGCAGCATGGAGGACTTTGTCACCTGGGTTGACTCGTCCAAGATCAAGCGGCACGTGCTGGAGTACAATGAGGAGCGCGATGACTTCGATCTGGAAGCCTAGCTGGTCTCCCTCTCTCCAAGACAGCCTTTTGCGGATGGGAAAACAGGCCTGATGCTGAAGATTCTGAGGATGCTCTTGTCAAGGGCGTGTCTGCAGGTCGTGGGTTCTTGAGAACTTGGCTCCTAAACTGCAGGCCACACATAGAGCCGGGGGGACGGGGGTTGCGTCTCTGTTTTCCAGGAAATTGTCTTAAAACCTGGACTACTGAGAATTAAAAAGACTGTCCATTAGGAAGACAGTGGGTAGCAGTTTTGTGCTGCACTGGGGAATTGTTAGGTTCTTGTGCCCAAAACATTGTAGTGTAAAAGCAAGAACTTTGCCTCCCCGCCCCCACTCCCCCCCACCCCCCACCATTCTCTTTATCATCTTGTAGCAAGACTGGTTCAATTTATTTAACTAGAATGTTTGTTCCTGGTCGTGATTTAGCTTTGTACAGATGTAGGAGAGTTCGGGCTCAAGTTTTCGTGAGTGAGACTTCAGTATTCACGGTTCCCTCCAAAGTTTAAAGAAATGCATTTCTAATGCCAATAAATGGTGCAGCTACACTGTGAGTATAACTTTTTGTCTGTTTGGTTTTCTACATAGGGTCATTTCTCTAGGTCTCCCCAGCTCAGGAACCAAGAGAAAAGGAATAGGGTCAGCAGCGACCTGCCTGTGGTTGAAATCTGCATCAGAGGCCACACGTGGAGGCTGCAGGATGTTGTACAGGGCTGGGCAAATTTGTCACTTTACCAATCCCTTCCTAAGAATGAGTGTTTTGGCAGAGCTCTTCCCCTCAGGACTTCCTGTTGATATTCAAGCCTCAGGAAATACCATATTAGAGGGCTGAAATGTTTGCTTGCCTAAGGAAATAATCACTCTGTAGTTTGGCCATCTAGTGGTTAGAAGTGGCCCAGGAGGTTCCTGGAAACTTCAGTGTTCTTAGGGATGGTAGAGAATTAGAAGGTAAAGTAGGTAGTGTAGGGAGACGACCTCGTCTTACCTAAGACTTACAAAAAGAATATAAATAGAATACTGAGATGAGTGGATTAGCTTTTAGATCTGCCTTCTCCACTTCCCTAGGCGTGAGGCTGCTTTTGGTTAGGAAAGGGGAAAGGGTTGGCCAGTTAATGGCACCATTTGGTAGATGCAGATAACACCAAGGTAAAGGGTTCGGATCTCCCATAGGCCAGCCGCCAAAAGGAGTGAAGGGAAAGGCGACATGGTATGGTGATAGCAAATGCTTCAGGCACAGTTTTAAGTGCATTACATATATTAACCCATTTAATTCTCACAATCCTATGAAGTGGGGAATCCAATTATTCACTTTTCAGATGAGGGAATTGAGGTGGGGAAGGGATGGGTCAAATTATCCAAGATTTCACAGCCAATAAGTGGTGGACTCAGATCATGTTCCTTTTAAGAGACGGTGTCACTGTTGGCACAGCCAGCCCTTGGGGTGTATCAGAGTTTAGAGCACATCTCTGAACTTGTTTCCAAGCCAGCAGAGAACAGCAGCCTCACTAGGCAATGTGATTGGTCTGTACAGGATTCTGTATAAAGGTTTCAGCAGGGAGCAGACATCGATCTGGAAAGGCTTTAGGGAAAAGGTAATATTCAAGTTAAGAGGGGGTAACTGACACTTACTGAGGCCCTGCCTGAGCTAGGCTGCCATTTACTCTCTCAACAACTCTATGAGATAGCTTTTCAGTTTGGGAAGCTGAGAATTAGGACAAGAACTTGTCTAAGGCTGGGGTTCAGATCTATCCTCATGCTACTCCAAAGGCCATGTTCTCTTCAATGCCATCCCTTCCACTCCCCAGCTCTGGTGGATGGACACAGTCTCTGCCCATTTGGAGGAGTATCTTCAGGGCTCCCAAGATTATGGATCTTGAGGGGACAGTAAGGTGGCTCTAGAAGGTTTGTGGCTCTCCAGTGCCCACCAGACCCTACAAGGCAAGACAGGTAGATGGGCCCCTTTGGAGTAGTTGGAGCCTGTACCTATGGCCCAAGCACATACAACCTCAAAGTTCTCTTGAAGGAAACCTGGCCTAGGAACTTGGGAGTAAAATGTAACCATCTTGAGAAAGGTTTTCTTTCTCCCTTTTTGGGGAAGATATGAAAGAAATTGATCAGAACTTGTAAGCAAAAACTTTGGGCTTAAAAAAATAATCCGTGCAAGACAATGATTCAGAAGGCAGACTCTGGAGCCAGACTGCCTGGTCTGAATCCTGACTTCTATGCTTAACTAGCTATGTAACAGTGTTTATTTTACTTAGCTTCTCTGTTGCCCGCATTTTCCTCATCATAAAAATGTAATATTTGGGGGAAGGGAGGTGGAGAAGGTGAATTATTGTTTTATGGGTACAAAATTTCTGTTTGAGGTGATGAAAAAGTTTTGGAAATGGTGATCGTTGTGCTACATTGTGAATGTAATTAATGCCACTGAATTGTATTCTTAAAAATAGCTAAAATGCAAATTAATTCACCCACATACACACACACAAAAAAACCGGGGGTGGGGGGGTGGGGAAGAAGATATAACAACTATACTTTCATGAAGTTGTTACAACAAGCAAATGGAAAGGACATTCTTGGGGGGGAGGGGAGAGAGGG